ATGGCTTAATTAGTATAGGAGCCTCTAGTGACAGGTAGGAGGAAATTTTATTGAAAACTATTCCAACAATTTTGACCAACTTAATACTGATAAAGCATTGTTGTATGAAATTAATTTTTTTTATCTGAGTGCTAAGATAACTCCCGTCCATTAAATTGTAGAATCTATGTCTCATTAGCTTGTGTACCAAATTTGTCTTTTATATATCTTGATATAACTCCAAGTGTACAAACATAAAGTTGGATTTTTTTTTGGAGTCGGCTAAAAATAGATGGAGTTGTTGTCCTGCCTTGGAATTATATATATTGTCTACATTCGCTGCGTCAAGTCATCCACTTTGTAGTAGACTCGGCCTTCTTCAAAATTGCTAGTCTAATTTCCTTTTTTAATCCGTTCAAGGGAAGATCTTATAAGTTATATCGTCCTACTAAAGTCCATATTGCTGCTACACAATATGGACATCACAAATGTTGTTTAAGTACATCATTCATTAGTAACAAAGTTTTATACGATTTATGAATCAAGATCAAAGGCCAAGGCCCGTGTGCAATCCGAGCCCAGCGAGTGCGCGAATGTGTCTAAAGTCAGCATCTATATTTGGTATATAGCTTAAGTTGATGTTTTGAGAATTACAACTCTTTTTTACTTCAACTCTGCAATTAATATTTAAAAAATTTTCATGATTAACTTTAATCATTTGTTTCACACTCTTCGAAAATCAATTTTGATAAAATAAATATATCACGAATATATACTCGAAACATAAAATTATTTTACACCATCACTTTAGAAATTGCAAAAATCCATATACTCGAAACATAAAATTGTTTTCAGTCCCATGTTTGGTATAGGTAGGAATCACCATCACTTTAGAAATTGCAAAATCCATATACATAAGATTCCTTATCTACCTAATGGGTTAACCCATTCACATGTATAATGTATTAAAAAAATTAAATTGAAACTAGTAAAGAGCAGTAAGTAAAATAAAAAATTATATAAATCATGATAATTATATCTTATCGTATCTATTCTATAATATAATTTTAGAATAGATAAACAAAAAAGTAAACTTTTGTTTATTATTGATAATTTTATTATAAAAATAATAAAGTTATAAAATAAAAAAAGTATAAAAAATATCTATAGATAATTAAAATATATATTTATCAATTCATATGTATTCTTTATTTACTTAT